ACACTCACCCTCACTCACACTCATCACGTCACCCTCACTCACACTCATCACGTCACCCTCACTCACACTCACACTCACTCTCACTTTCACTCACACTGATCACGTTACACTCACTCTCACTCACACTCATCACGTCACCCTCACTCACACTCACACTCACTCTCACTTTCACTCACACTGATCACGTTACACTCACTCTCACTCACACTCACACTCACTCTCACTCACACTCACACTCACTCTCACTTTCACTCACACTGATCACGTTACACTCACTCTCACTCACACTCATCACGTCACCCTCACTCACACTCACTCTCACTCTCACTCACACTGATCACGTCACCCTCACTCACACTCACTCTCACTCACACTCACTCACACTGATCACGTCACCCTCACTCACACTCACTCTCACTCTCACTCACACTGATCACGTCACCCTCACTCTCACTCACACTCACACTGATCACATCACACTCACTCTCACTCACACTGATCATGTCAGATGACATCTTGTAACACGCGGCGGTAACGGACGGTGACATGACAGTAGACAGGCTTTCACAGCCAACGTTTCGTCGGACGTCGTTAAACGGCCGCCATCTACTAACTTCTACATCCCTCCCCCCACAACCTCCGATCTCACTCACCAGAGGGAGCCGGCGGGCGCGGAGAGATCTGATTCGCTGGTGAGTAACCGGGCACGACGGAGTCCGTCCACAGGCGCGAGGCGAGGGCGTGGTCGGCACGGCCGGCGATCGGGGTCAAGGTCGGGGTCGGAGTCAAGGTCGGGGTCGGCACGCACGTGATCACCGACGGACGCAACTGCCGCTGCAGCAAGCGTGGATCGTCGCCCGACCCTGCAGGCGTGGCGTAGTTGACCTCTGGCCCCGCAGGCACGGCGTAGTTGACCTCTGGCCCCGCGGGTGTGGCGTAGTTGACCTCTGGCCCCGCAGGCACGGCGTAGTTGACCTCTGGCCCCGCGGGTGTGGCGTAGTTGACCTCTGACCCCGGAGGTACGGCATAGTTGACCTCTGACCCCGGGGGTACGGCATAGTTGCCCTCTGACCCCACGGGTGCTGTGTAGTTGACCTCTGACCCCGGAGAATCATTCCTCACACCTGTCGATGGCCTGCAAGCAATAGCAACAATAATTACAAATAACTCTGACAAAAGTTGAGAAGATAAAATAATAGCAGTAATGATAATAATAATAATAATAATAATAATAATAATAATAA